CATTTGATTGTTCTATGCTGCTTGTAGGGACGCCTCAAGTGGTATAGTTGTAAATATTTCTTGTATATATTTTTTTTATTTATCATTTTTAGGCCAGCAGTACTTCTATTAGTACTGTAAAGAGAGATTGCGCAATAGAGAGGCTCTGAGCTGTGTGCCATAATCAGAGGCCGGAATTTAAGACTCTGAGCTGTGTGCTGTAATCAGAGGTCGGAATTGAGAACCCTGAGCTGTGTGCCGTAACAGGGAGATTTATATATTGGACTTTTTATTTTATTTTATCTTATATATTTATTGGACACAACCCAAGCTGTAATTGAATTTACACGCTCGCAATATTATTATTTATATATTTTTAAGGAACAATAATGAATACATTACAAAAAAAAAGGGCCAGTGTTGTTACCAACAGATTCATCAGCATGTGTATTGGAGCTGGCTTATCTTTTAGATCAATACTGGGCTTTTCATCAATTGTCATATCCACTTATTTTGTTAACTCATCAAAGTTACTGTACAATTCAATATACTAAAAGTATGCTAGAATTAAGGTTGCAGGAGAAACTCCTCCAGAAATCAATCGACAGAGTTTCGACAGGTTACACATTAATTGTTTATTAGAGTTTCGGCAGAGTTTTGCATTTGGGGTTTTCGCCAATCATCAGAGTTTTGACAGGTTACACATTAATTGTTCTTAGAGTTTTGACAGAGTTTCAACAGTCATTAAGAGGTTTCGCCCACAACCTTAGCTAGAATGGATGGGTGATGCCATCAAAAGACATTTTGATACAAAAAGGGAAAACCCTTTTGAATTTAGGTATTAACTTATTCCTTATATATTGAATTATAACAAAAAATATATTTTTTTTAAACAATTTGTGTAGATATCTAAAATTATACCATAGATATAAAGATTTTGCAAAGCATACAAGACCAAAGGTAGTACTTGCAAGTAATGTTAGTTTAGAAACAGGATTCTCCTGTGAATTTTTATTTGAAATATCAAAATCACATATAAATACTCTCATTTTAACTGATCATGGACCACCAAATTCTTTGGCAAGAACATTATATTATGAATGGGATTGTAATAGTCAACTAAGTCAAGTAATTGTTAAATAAGCAACTTATTTGGATTTAACTATCAACTTGATGATAAATTTACTTTATTATCTATTGTCCAAATGGACTGACTGCCTTAAAAAATTTTGTATTTATTAAATAATCTCACACAAATACATGTTTATTTATTTATCAAGATTAATAAAAAGGTTCCTTTAGAAGGGGTGGAACTTTTAGAATATAAAGCAATGCAATGCAAGAAGCAGGAAAGAGAGGCAGCACAACCAGCACTCGTTGCTAAATCTTTGTCAATAATTGAAGAAGATGAGGCAGATGATGAAAAGTCAGAAGCAGGAGATGCAGACATGGAAGAATTATTGGCAAAACAATTTGACCTTTATGTTCGTGATGTAACAAAGTATGGTGGTTTTTTCAAACAATTGCAAAGTTATTTGATGTATCCATATATTGAAAAAAGGAAAAGATATGATGATGACTATGGTGAAATTATCCCGCCTGATATGTTTAAAAGAATTGATGGATCAATTGGTAATGATGGAATCGGTGTTGAACCAATTGGTGATAGAGAGGATATGGGTGGTGGTGATAGAGAGGAGGTAGTTACTTTTTGTTTCCCAAGAACAATTTTAAACTTTAATTAATATTGTATTATAATACAAGCTTGATAAAGATAGTAATCATTCTTCTTTGGATTCTAATGTTCCAACAAAATATGTATCATATAATGAAGATGTTACATTCAAATGTCAAATACAATTTATATACTTGGAAGGAACTAATGACAGAAGATCATTGAAAACCATAGTACTGCAAGTACAACCTAGAAAATTAGTAATAAAATATTGTTTTTTATTCATAAATAGTTGTGGCTATGGTGGTTATTAATATTTTTATTAATATAAATAAATTTATATGTATACATATATTTATAGATTGTTGTACATGCATCACAAGAAGCAACAAAAGATTTTGCTCAAAGCTGTTTAGCTCTGGAATCAATGACTAAAAACATTTATACACCAGATGTTGGAGAAACTTTGAATGTTTCAGCTGCAATAAATTTCTATCAAGTCAAACTGACTGATGCATTTGTTAGTTCATTAAATTTTTTAAAGGTGAAACAAATCCATATATAATTAGATATAAATTTTTTCCTTGATAAAATTTTAATTGATTATTAATATTATTTATATTATTCATTAGCTTGAAGATTATGATATAGCATTCATAATGGGAAAATTTTCATTCCCACAAGACTATTCTCTCCCTATATTAGATGCTATACCAATAGAAGAAAACACTAGTAATAATAATCCTATATTTGTAGGTGAAGTGAAGTTATCAAAATTAAAACATTTATTACAATCTGAAGGTATCAAAGCTGAATTTAAAGGTGAAGGTGTGTTATTTTGTAATGAAAAAGTTACCATTAAAAAGGTCAGTCAGTATCAATATATTCTTTTTAATTTTTTTTTATTAAGGGTAGGGGGAATCACGTGGTAAATTAATAGTAAACAATGGCTCAAAAAAATTTTTTTAATGTTGATCATCATAAATAATTAATAATAATAATAATAACGTAAAATAATAACTCAACATTATCAACATTAACACTTAATACTTTTGCCAATCAGTCTTAACACTTACTTAAATATTTAAAAACTTTTACAAAAACTTAAACAAAAACATTTATGCTTAACAAAAACCAAAACCCAAACCTTTGCTTTCTATATTAAAGCAAATAACCAAAACCTCAGAATTCTATACCACTCTGAGGAGGCTCTGAAAGAGGAATGGTTGAAAATTCCATACGAAAGATTAGGAAAACTTATTGAAAGCATGCCAAAAAGAATTGAGGCATGCATTTCTAGCAATGGTTGGCCAACAAAATATTGATTGTTCATTTCAAAACTTATTTCAATTTTGCTGATCATTACAAATATAATTTTTTTAATTAAATTTCGTTTTTTTAAAATTAAAAAAGTTCTAGATAATAAAAAAAACTTTAAATTTCATATGCATAACCGTAAGAACCTAAGCTACAAAATGACATTTTTTATTTATTTTTTTATTATGTAATATTTTGCGGAATTTTCGAAAAACTGCGTTCGGATACTTTCTTCCAGGTACTGTATCAAACTATAAGTCATATATAAATCTTATAAAACACCATAAACCATTATATTGCTGAATATGTCTCAAACAATAATAAGTTTCATAAGCATATTAACAAACCTGAAGAAATACTTGCAATTTCTGGTGGTGGTTATAACACAGAGTGGGCCTTGGAGTCTGAAAAATTATATGATGAACTCAGTGTAGTCAAGCTGGGCAAATCATATATTCAGTGGAGTGTTTGTGTGAGAATCCCTCTGCAAAATCTCCACCTGTATCTTCTTATTCAGGATAGCAATGACATAAATAGGCTTTTAGATTATGTTCAGTAGATATCCTGATACAATTCACAGATAGAGATACTGTATATAATTTTGTGGAGGCGTTGTTGCTATTACATGTGAGGATTTAGTTATCTATGCATGCTTTGTATCATAATATATAAATATCCAACTTTCTTTTCCTACAGAAAATCCTAATCATTAATCTATCTTTATTATTAAATACAGATCATAAATTATATGGAGATAAAGAAGATAGTTCAACAGCATCATCTCCACAAGACAATTAGGATTCTCATATCTTTATTTTGTATTTCTGTTCTGTATGTTTTTTGTGTGGTGAATATATGATATATTAAAATAGATATGAAAAAAAAAACAATTGATTGCTACACATATTGAGAATTACTGAATCAAGATTATTCACTTTGAGATATCTAAATATCTCTTCATAATCAAATACCTCCTTTACATCTTGTGTCTTCTTATTTATGATAGTTAGTCTTCATGAATAATATGATCATATTTATCCCAGTTTGAAATTGTAAATATTGTGTAGGATTTGTAGTAAATCTACCTTGAGTTTTGTTTCTGTTATTTCTAGATTTGCAAGACATATTAATATCTTATAATGACATATTATATTAATATTAAAGTATTGAGACACATTCATTTTTTTTTCTTGCTAAGTGATCAGTGTAAAGATTCTTTATGCACATGTGATTTTGATGAAAATAAAGCATGGACATCCACATAATTCTGATCGAGACAAATGGTTACATAACCTTACTTTATTAATATATAAAAAATGTTACTGAAATAACAACATAAAAATCATATTGCAGTTACATACTGCAGATGTAAAAAAAAAATAAATATTATCCATTAATCATGTATGCAATGATGTGATATACATTTTCAGGAGGATCCCTGTTGAAAAAACTAGAGATTAGAGCTGGTGATCACATACACAGTGAGTCTTGGTATAGCAGACCTCGGTATAGCAGATTTGGGGGTTTAGCAGATAAATTTTCAAACCCAAATTTTTCTATAACAATCTTATCTTGGTTTAATGTATTTAACAGATTTTTCATATAAATTCAGTTTGCTGGATATTTTTTAAAAATTCATATATGTCATAATAAATTTTTCTCAATATTACAGATAACAATGATCTTTACTATTTTGGGTTAATATGAGTAATTATTAAATATTAATACAGTCAGGATTATTACCAAATTTGGAAATCGAATCTAGAAAAATTGGAACTCCTTTGTCGATCAATTCATAT